ACTTGGGCCAGTGAAGCAACGTCCTCCACAACTAGACTGAAGAACAAAACGACAGCAACTTGTCTGTTCCCCTTCCCACAATTCCCCAATAAAAATCTTTAAAAAAAAAGAAAAAGGAATAGCTCATGGGCCACGTCCATGAGAATCCAAGTTCAGGTGAACTACGCTATCATTTTGTGAAAGCTGTACTTTTCCACTCATGAACTTTGAACTGAACTTCTGTGCCTAAAAGGAGTTTTAGGAATTGAGAAAAGCAGATAGTTGAAATAAATCCTGAGGTGGTTGCAAATCACCCTGAGCCAGAGTTGGCCATTCCCTGAAATCATAGGAAAGTTGAGAAAACACAAACGATGTGGCCACCATACCCTCAGTCAGTAAACAGGCTCCCCCACACTTTTGTACCCTGATCATTGTCCAGTAAAAACCCCAACCACGGTTTGCTTGGGGAGTCACTTTCTCTTCAGTGTTCCCTACTGCAGCAGCTTTTAAAAAGCACTTGCCTTCAACCCTAACTAGTCTCCATTTCTATTTCGACAGCTTGGGTTCTGGGCTAAGTCATTTTATGGAACCATTTGGAAAAAGCAGTGTTTGGAGATGTCCACCAAAAAAGTATCTTTTCCTGGAATTTGGCAGTAGTTGGGTCTAAAGCAGAACACAGAGGGGCGGTTGTACCATCTCATTTTCCATTTCCATCCATCAATCCGTCCTATGCCCACTAACGCATAGGACTCCTATAGTGAGTTCAACCAAAAGACTTGCACACGACACGAGTGGGTTGCACTTATGTATTCAGTTTCCTATATACGGAACTAACACAGCCTGGGGAGGGGAAAAGAAACACTGGAAGAGCTGCCTGGCTGGAGTTAACTGACTTCTACTAAGTCATGGCTTCCCACTCTTTACAAAATCATCTTCCTACAGGAAAATCGGCTACCACAGGGGTAGCAAGGGTTGCAAGGGTCACATGGGTTGCAAGGGTTGCAGGGGCTGCAGGGGCTGCAGGGGCTACAGGGACTACAGGGACTACAGGGGTTGCAGGGGTTGCAGGGGTTGCAGGGGTTGCAGGGAGAGGTGCAAGGGTAGCACGGAGACTCGATCTTGACGCAACTGCCGAGCCCATAGGAGTAGGTTACGTCCTTCTCATCCACACACGGAGGCAAGCTGAACTCTTTGCAGATGTTCATGTAGCTGTATTTTTTCGATCCGAGGCAGTCGTACCTATTCTCACGCTCTGCCGACACACACACCTTTCCGTCTTTCACTCGAACTTTGACTTGATCGGGTTCAAAGCCGCACACGTTCACCGATCCTAAAATGTTACTGCTACAGCAAGAGGAGGCCAGAATTCTATTCGTTGTTCTCCTCAGTCTGAAATTGAGAAAAAGGACAGGGTGAGCGGAAGAAGCTCAGACCTCAGAACTCAGGCACAGCTTGAGAAGCAATATTTTGATCTCTGCTTTGTTTTAATAGCAAAAGTAAGCACTGGTCATCATGAAAAGTCAAACTGTACAGACGTGTATAAAGTAAAAAATGAAAGGCCTCCCATGTAAATCACATTCTTCCACAGGTAAACCTCTGTTAACAACAGATGAGTGCTCGACCATCCAGATTTTTCTCTTGTATTTAAATCCCAGTTCCTCCTCTTATTAGTTAAGGAAACTTGGCAGGTTCCTTAATCTCTCTGTGCCTCAGTTTCCTTATCTGTAAAATGGAAGTAATACTAATAGTAGTACATTGTAGTATTGAAGGGTTAGATGAAAGTATATATTTTGCTTAACATTGTGCTTGACACGTTATAAACCCTGCTTAATTATTACCATGATCATGATTATTACTACTGTGGATATTATAGGTAGACTCAGAGAACTTTTTAAAAAGAGAATCCAACTAATAAGCTACCACTTAAAATTTGCATTTTAGAGATGGCCGTCAGCCTCAGAATCCAACCCTGTTGGTCCACAGGACTGGAGCCACCACTGGGCCTTCACCCAGACTCAGCCTGAAGGTTCCATCAACAAACAACAAGGCAGGATGCCAGGGCCTGGCTCTGCCTCAGGGGGCCTGTCTCCTCCTGTCTGAGGATGCTCCAGGCTCTGAAAGGCTGGTCCCAGCAGGAACAGTCAGGTTGGAGGGCCTGTGTGCTGGATCTGAGTCCTACCAGCTTGCAAGGGCTGATTGCACACATCCCTTCCACCTCCTCATCCAGTGACCTCATGATGATAGCTTGAAATCTATCATGGTGGGAACATTATACCATGGACATTGGAACACACTACAAATCAAGGTTTTTCTCCTTCCCCAACCCCACTTTCCCAGAACTTGTTGTTAAATATCGTTGCTTGTGGCCCGTGGAGCAGCAAGCACAGATCTCCATGATTCCTATAGAGCTGTGTGTGAATCCTCAATAAGAAAACAACAGTAACAGAAGCTCACACTAATCGATCACTTACAATACTTCAAGAGGTAGTAAAGTGAAATGTTTAAGAAGAGCACAGCTGGAACTAGGGTATTTAGATCCAAATCTTGGCACTGCCATGTGGACAAGCTACTGAATCTCTGCGTCAGTTTCCTCATCTGTAAATTTGGGACCTACTTCTAGGGTTGTTGTGATGCTTAAACTAGTTAATGAATGGAAAGTATTTGTAATAGTGCTTGGCACACGTTTAGTATGTTGGGCTTTTGTTTCCTTCCCCCCACCCCCAATGTACCATGATAAATGTTAAGCTGATACAAGCATTGTTTTATTTAATCTTCACAATAACCCTCTAATGCAGATGTAATTATTACCGCTTTATAGATGAGAAGACGGTAAAGGTGGTGAATGGAAGTCTAGATTCAAATTCAGGCCTGTTAATGCCAAGGTTATAGATTTAACCATCAGTTAGATTGAGCTGTCAGTCTCTGTAGCCTGGCATGAACCCTGTGTGCTCTGGCCTGACTCAGGTTCCATTTTGTTTCTAATTGCCACATCCTTCCAAAAACAACCTAATGCTCTGAAATGGTCTTCATTTTATCCCTAACATTAAAAAATATATACAAGCATATCTGTGTTCTAAGAAACATTCCTGGCAGATCATATTGCATCTCTTGGCCACCAAAGGAAGACCTTGGAGTGTGTAATTTCTAGAACTTCTCCTAGTTTGAGGAGTCTTGACTCATTGATTAATTGGCTTGAGGTTACAGTTTTAGTTCTCACTTTTATGCTGAATTTTGTCTTATATACTTACTTCCTTTTGTTACACAAGTTATACAAGTTCATTGAGGAAAACTCAGAAAACACAGATAAGCAAAAAGATGGAATATTTTAAAAAAATACTCATAAGCCCATATAATATTTACCATTTTCTTCTGTGTGTATCTATTTCTACATATAGAATATATAGAGAGTTTTTTATGTGTTCTTATGAAGTCATGCTGTACATACTACTTTGAATATGTTATTTTTACTTTATAAGCCCTAACATGATTGGCTTAACAACAGTGTGAGCCCTTGTACTGAAGGTGATAAACCAATGCCCTTAGTGACTAATTTCCAAAATGGTCAAATAGAATGCTATCCTAGAAGATGCTGAGGACAACAGAAAATTTAGGCAAGGCACCCAGAGGACTGTGGCAGCCATTCGGTTCCATTTACACCTCAGCTCCAAGGACTGGGGTGGTATGGGGCCCAAACGTCTTTCATGCTGTAGGTATGCCAGGATGCCCATAGACCATACTAAGAAGAAAGAAAGATAATCGAACTTTCTTTAAAATCTTTATCTCTGTGACAAAACCAGGAGAGAAAGCGCTCTATCTCCCTGGATCAGCAGAGAATAATACACGAAGCTGTACAGTGCCCTCTCTGGATGGACCACAGGCTTGAAGCCCCAACAGCCAAGGCCAAGAATGAAGCACAGAGCTGAATGGGTGCCCTGGGATCTCTCAAGAACCTCCGTTGGTGTGTGTGGGGCTAATAGTCAAAGCTCTTCTGTTCAGCTCAGACCTTCCCGTAGGAGAGGAGAAACGTCACATCCTGCCATGAAGACAGAGCTGAGCCTCACAAAGAAAGAACAAGGACCCCAAGTAAGGTTGCTAGAGGCCCAGCTATTGTCATAGTTAACTCTGCCAAAGACTCTTGCCCTCTGCGGGAGATGGAGCTGGGAGCCAGGTCTACAAGCCAAAGCTGGCTCCCAGGTCCATCTCCTCCCCTTAGCAACATGAGTCTTGGGGCACAACTCCATGTATTTTATATTGCTTAGATTCCCCCTCTTTCTCTGTTCCCATCACTTTGCCTCCTTTGCCCCTGCAGCAACTGCACAGGAGCCTCTCCAATGTGAGTCTTCAGGAAATTATCTAAAAAGTCTTGGCCAGGTCAGGTTTCTTCTTCCTTTTGCTTTTAGGTTAGGGGTTATTAGTGGGGAGGTGTGGGTTTAGGAGAAATTGCAGGGGCCACATTCTACTTATCAGACAACTTTAAACTTGCTACTTGACTCCTGCCTAGTGATGTACTCATCACCCCACATGGGATTTTCCATGGCTCTGTGGGAATTGCCTCCAATATTTGTTATCATGAAGGTGGAGCTTAGCCACAGTAAACATAGGGAAACCAGCCCCTTTGTTTTGCTGCAGAAGCCTCTTGGGAAAGCTGCGGTAAAGTGAGTGGAGAGCCAGTGTCTGCCACCTGTTCTCCCTACTGAAGCTGAATTTCACCCGAATGTGCCACAGCCTCCTGATTGTGACACATACTGCCCACAGCAATGATGAGTTATACAGACAGCCCTCTTCGCAAAGATATAAATCAGACTCAGCCTGGTGGTGAATTAAGTAGCGAGGATGCCAATAGGCCTATCTCTACCAAGAGTAAATGGAGGCAGGCTTTCCTTAGCTGTCCTTGGAGTACTTTGCTTTTTCTCCTAATTTGGGCCTCTTCCACTAAACTCCATTCCTCCTTTCCAACACATCTTTCCCTTTCTCTTCTTTCTTCTCCTCACTCCCTTCTTTTCCTGCCTTGTCTTTCTTCTCCAGGCTTTTGGATGACCCTGAAGAACAATGCCACCCAGCAGGAGCAGAGTAGCACAATGCAGGTGCATCTGAGGCCCCAGCAGGGCTTATTAAAACACAGGTGGCTGGGCAGCACCCCAGAGTTTCTGACTCCGCAGGAGCCGAGGATTTGCATTTCTAACAAGCTCCAGGTGGTGCTCCCACTGCTGGTCCAGAGACCAGGCAAACCTGGTTTCAAGTCCCAGCTCTCCTACCTCCTGGTGATCAAGACATGATCTGTAAGATGGCCAAGAGGGTACAAGGATTAAATCAAGTGGACGTGCGAGGGACATGGTTTTCACTCAATAAAAGATAAGTCTCTTTATCGGGCTGTACAAGCTGAAGTTTTATGTGACCAAGCCCAAAGTCCTGTATCATTAAACAATAGAATCAAACTAAATATAGTTCAAAACATAATTTGGGGAGGAAAACAGAAAAAAACTAAAGCAACAATAGTACTTACGTGGGTCTCTGCTAAGGAAGATACTGCCAAAGTGTCTCTTGAAGCTGCTGCTCAATAAACAGTGGAAATATATTGGACCTTCTATACCCAGTTTACAAAAATACCTCTCTCTCTCTCTCTCTCTCTCTCACACACACACACACACACACACACACACACACACACACACACACACACACAATGATACACTCAGACACACACACCAAACAACATACACTCAAGAGAGTTCTCAAGGGGCCGGCCTAGTGGCCCGGTGGTTAAGAACTGGCTTGGGACACCAGAGGGCCCCGCTTCGGATCCCACATATGAGGCCCAGTGACACTGCCCTCTACAGCTAAGATGCTGAACAACAGCTCAACCTGGAGCTGGGCTGTCGTGAGTAGCTGCCAACGGCAGGTGGGTTGCCATGGGCTACCGTATGTAACCAGCAGCCAGTGTGAGCGGCCAGCAGCCCCCGTGACTGGCCGTCCAGAAGCCGGTGACTGATCTGCCTCACCCAGGAAGAGCGCAATGATGGTGCCAACTTGGGACAGTGAAGCAACATCCTCCACAACTAGACTGAAGAACAAAATGACAGCAACTTGTCTGTCCCCCTTCCCCCAATTCCCCAGCACTGTTCCCATCCCCCCAATTCCCCAATAAAAATCTTAAAAAAAAGAAGAATGTTCTCAAGAAACTCTTGGAGGGGAATTAAAAATTGTCAGCCAAGCCTTCTACTCAGTTATTAAAGGATCACCCAGAGCCAGAGCAGACTGGCGTCCCCACAGAGAAACAATTCCCATGGGACTGTGGCAACTATAGGCCAGATGGATCTGTCTTTCCCGTTTGGCAAAGAACCTTCTGGATGACCCAGCCTGGCATCTGAAAAGACATGTCATACCTAACCAAACTGCTAGCATTCTTTAAAGGGGTAAACATTCATGGGAATATGATTTCTTAACTCAAAAAGCCTTGGGCAAGGTTTCACACCAAAAATTGTTTTTAAAAATTGAAGCAACATGATATTTCTGGGTATATTTAGTCATGGATTGGGAGCTAGCTGAGAGATAAGAAAAAAGGCATTTTACTGGAAGAAAAAATATTAACAGTGAAAGTCCTCTGGGATTGAGGCTAGATCAGGGTTTAACATTTTCATCCATAGTCAGAAAAATTGAATATTTAGGTTTGCAGGTGACACTAAGCCCTACTGGATAGTGAAATGTCAAGCTGTCAGAAAAAGAGCATATGAGGGTTTCACAAGGCGGTGTGAATGTTCTGGAAGAAAAGTGGCTGGGAGGAGATACAAGAGGGCAAGTCTGAGGTCATTTCTAAAATATACTTGGATTTATCAGTTCAGAAATCTGGGAATTAGTGTGGAGACATCACCAACTTTATATACTGCCACAGGCACAGAAAAAAATCAGCAAAAATTCAGACATTGCCAGGAAAAGTATCACAAACTATAGAAAGCATTACTTGCTGTATAAACCATACTGCCAAGATGTGAGCTTGAAGTTGTGCCTACTGCACGCCAAGAAATAGGGCCTCCTGGAGGAGGCAGAGAGCACCCAGAGGATAAAGAACAGACAGGTGTTCTCCCCAGGAGAGTCTGGAGCATAGGAACAGCCAGGAGACAAAGTCTGAAAGGACCTGCGTGAAAGGTAATCAAGTCCTCAAAGGTACAGGGAGAGCGGACAGAGATTTGCTCACAGGTAACCCTTCGTTTAGACCAAATATTACAAAAGTGTCCCTGACTCACAATTTTTTTTTAACTTGATACTCCAAGGAATAAAAATAAAATTGGTTCAAATTGAGTGTAGGTAAGTTTATAGGCAATAGCCCCATCCCAGGTTATTGAGGGAGGTTTGTTCTGGCCTTTGGTGACTGATGACCTGGACAATAGTTGCCTTAGAGCCATTTCTAGTGAAACACCACTGTCACAGTTGTCAAGGGCCTTGCTCTGTCTCTCTCTGTTTATCTATCTATCTATCTATCTATCTATCTATCTATCTAATATCTATCTATCTATCTAATATCTATCTATCTATCTATATCTATCTATCATCTATTTATATCTATCTTATATCTATCTATCTATCTATCTATCTAATATCTATCTATCTAATATCTATCTATCTATCTATCTATCTATATCTATCTATCATCTATTTATATCTATCTTATATCTATCTATCTATCATATCGATCTAATATCTATCATCTATATCTATCATCTATCCCTATCAATCTATTTATCTATTTATTATCAGTTTTCCATATCTATCATCTATCTATAGCTATCTATCATCTATATCTATAAATCTATCTATATCTATCTATCTACTATCTATCTACCTATCTAATATCTATCTATCTATATCTATCATCTATATCAATCATCTATACCTATCAATCTATTTATCTATCAGCTATCTATAGCTATCTAGCATCTATCTATAGCTATCAATATATCTATCTATCTATATCTATCTAATTTATTAATCTATCATCAGGATAAGACAATCTTAAGGGCACAAACTTGCAATGAGGAATAAAGAAGTCCTAGAGATCTAATGTGCAGTATAGTGACTGTAGACAATAATATTGTATTATAATCATCAAACTTGCTAAGAGACTAGAACTTAACTATTCCAACCACTAAAAAGAAATGATAATTATGTAATGTGATAAGGTGCTAATTAGCACTACAATGGCAATCATATTACGATATATAAATGTATCAAATTAATATGCTGTACACCTTAAATTTACATTGCTCTATGTCAAATATATTTCAATACAAAATCTATCACCTATTCATCTTTTAAAACAATAGGATATTAAATAGTTTGTCTGAACCTTGATTTTTTTCACTTAATACATCAATACATAAAATGCTGCATCAATCATTTTTACATCTACATATTATTTCAATATATGGATGGACCAGAATGTATTTAACCAGGGGACCGTCCTTCAACCATTTTTTTCAACAACAGTGATAGACTAAATGGTGTATGTACAAAGTAAGAAAAGGAAAGCTTTCTCCAGGCCAAAAAACAAAATGTAATCAAACAAAAATTTTTAAAGTGGCTTTTAAAATTACCCAATTCAATTAAAATCTTTTCATCTCTGTTCTGAAAGCTGAGACTCTCAGTTCTGTAGTTTATTTGCACAACCTTTACTAGAGTTGGAGAGAGAGGCTGACATAATAGACCCAACTCCAGATGAATTTTAAGTCTTTGTCTGGAGTTGGAGAATGGGAGAAAGGTTTTCCTACAAACCCCAGAAAACGCCTCTGTTGTTTAATTTGCTCCCCTGCTCTTAAGCCTCTGGCAAACATTAAAGATTTGATCAGTTATTATTACTTCTCTTGTAGTCATTTCTGTAAGTCCAAATATACTTCAATCACTTTACTCATAACCAGAAAAAAATGTTTAGTTTGCTACTTCCAATAGCTTTTTAATGACATCTCTATTTCTTTCCCTCATTAAAGCCACATTATTTATCATGTTGGCATTCCAGCTATAAACCAACAACAACCCTGCCAATCGACATCATTACATTGTCTTTTGAGACTCATCATTTCCATCATGGACCCATTCACACTTCTTAAATCTTTGCTAAGCCACTAGACTTATTACCTTGAACACTTTTCATCTTTGTACCAGTATCGATTGTCACACTTTCTCCCCTATTCCAACTTATAAGGCTAACATACCAACTATAAAAATATTAAAAAGTTCTTTTACTTAGCCAGCTCTCTCTTCTCATCTTCTATGGCTCTGATGGCTTTCCTCTCTAAACTTCTGAGAGATGGTCGAAGACAGTAAAGCTTGACATCACACAAGCAACACGGGTACATGTCGCAGAGGCCGCAAGAGCGTGATCGCTTTGAATAGCACAAGCAGTACGGGTATGGGTGCAAGTCACAACAGCAGTACGGGTGCATGTACAAGTCACACAGGCAGCGCGTGCTGAATTCGTCGATGCATCTCAATTGCCTCAGTTCTCTGTCCACCTTCTTGATGTCCCTTCTAACACTGTCCAAAAGACAATTCAGTGCAGCCATGACAGTCACACCTTATTGTTCTGTGAGTACCTTTGGGAAATGGCACTCGGGGAAAAAAATTGTTCTAAGCTCTTCTCAGAAGTTTCTTTTAAAAATAAATGAGGCACACATATCCACTTACTTTAAAGCTTGTGTTCTGTGACCTCACCACCTTCTATGTATGTCATAGGCTGTTGGTTACCATGGGAACTGTACACAGTCCTCTCCAGAGGCCCTCCTCAGAGTTACAACGTTACTCTCAGAACTATACTAATGTTGGGATTTCATTCAAGTTGGATGGGTCCCCCAAGCAAGCATAGCTCTTTAGCGTCCATGGGGCTAACCTTTAATGTCCTTGACTTCTGTGTGTGTGCCCTGAGGAACAGCCATAGCTGTGATCTTAGTGTGGGGGATGGAAGAGCTGCCTGGCTCCTTTCTCTACGCTTTTCTAGCTGCTCGAGCCTTGACTTGACACTTAGCATTCCCCTTTACATGCTAGGGTTTGTTCTGGTTCCTAGTCACTTTATCCATAGAATACAAAGAGCTTTCCTATGGTTCTCCTTACAAAGTCATCCTCAAGTCAGCCTTTGTCCTTAACTTTCTGATCCCCAAGTCTCTGAGTCTTGTCCTTTCTTTACTAGCTAAAGTCCTGGCTATCCTGGGACATCAGTTCTCCAGTGGCCAGGGTCCTTGCTCTTAAGCGCCCATGTCTCAGTGCTCAGGGTCCTGTCCTTGGTCACCACTGTCCAGCAACTACACCTCTGGTCTTGCGTCCAAGCCTCCAGATGCCTTGTCCCTAAGTGCTTCCCAAGTGTTGGCCCTTGATACTTTGTATCTAACTGCCTGAAACCCACCTTGGGCAGGTTTCCTCTGCTCCCAACTGGATCAACACAGTGGATCTCAGGCTCAGCCTCAGCCTTGGCTCAGAGGTACTTCTACTCCTCCCGGCCTTTCCCCTCAAACTGCTATCCAGCTCTCGAATCTTCCCTTTATGGACTAAGACATAGGGTACTTAAGGAGAAATGGCTGGATATGACACTGGAGAGGGAAACAGGGCCAGGATTAAAAGGACTTATGGACCTGCTAAGGAATTTGAACTTTATTTTGAGCACAGTGAAGACTCACTGACTTTCTTTTCCATGGAGACTTCAAGAGAAATTGAAGGGTAAGTCTAAGAGCCATCCTGAAGGTGCTTTGGAAGGAGACAACAGTAAAGGTGTCTTCTGATGGAAGGCAAGAGACAGCCAAAGTCCGGACTGCGGATCTTGGCTATAGGAATGGCAAGAAGCAAGGCAATGGGGTCACCTTTCTCCACGTGCACTCAGACCCCATCCAACCCATTCTCCACATTGCAGCCAGAGTGATATTCATATATAAATCTGTCATTCCTCAACTCCACCCCACAAAAAATCTTCAATGTCTTCTTAGGAGAAGGACCCAAATCCTTACAAGGTGCTGAACGATATGGTCTCTGCCTACATTTCCTGTCTCCTCTCCCACCATTGTTTCTGTAATTCATTATGCTTTAGCTACAATGTCCTTTCTTGATGTCTCAGGACTTAGGGGCACTCTGATCTGTCTTCTTAGAAATTGAACTCCCCACCCAATGCCCTTGATCTAGTTAACACCTAAGGCATACTTTAGATCTCCTCTTAAATGTCTCTTCTTCAAGAATGACTTCCCTGTCCCCCAGACTAAACACTCATAACTCTGCATATTTCTTTCATACCATTGTCTGTCTGTTGCTCCAACCAGACTATCTTTTTTTGGTCACCATTAGACACCTAACACAATGCCAGGCACATAGTAGGGGCTTCAAACTTATTTGGGGAATTGACCACATGAGTGAATTAAATAGAATTTAGTGAACGGAGTGAAGATGGCGTGAGGGAGGAATCAGTAATGATTCCTAGGTTTCTAGCTTGGCCCAATCATGGTGCCACTGAATGAGGTAAGAAATTCAGGAAGAAGAGTAACTTTGGGGGACATGCTGAACTTGAGATGCTAGTGACAACTTTAAGGTAGATATGTGGAGTAGTTTGTAGATAAGTGGGTCTGGAACTTGAGAGAAAATTGGGATAGAGATATAAATTTAGGAGTCACAATTCCATAGATAGTCAAAGCCCTGAAGTGGGCCAGATCATTCAGGAGACAGAAGAGATTGAAAAAAAGAAGAGGGCTGAGGCAGACTCCTGAGGAACAATAAGAAGAAATGAGGGAAGGAAAGGGGCTCATAGGAGGAATAATCAGATGTAAGAGCCCCAATGCTGAGTCCCTCATGTATCACTAGACCAAGCCTGGCATTCCCC